GTTGATTTTCCAGCATCTGGGAATATGAAACAACAAAAATAAAATAGGAGAAGCAACAGATCTAGAGAATCAACACATTGTTAGCAATAAGCTTCTGTAACTGTACTATATGACTATTCAACAAGCAACAAAAATATGTAAAAAAGAAAAACATGCAACATATTTTGAAGCCACAAGCTAAGTAAGCAGATTTAACAAGCTCAATCAATTGTTTTCTAATAGACAAACAACATATGGCACACGAAAGTTGTCTAAAATGGATGTCCAATAGTAAACTGATTTTAATTAAAATAACAAAGTAGTTTTTAGAAGAAAAAATTACTGCAAACAAAAGAATTCATACACAATGTCATCAAATATCCCACAAAAAAACAAGTAGAACAGTGGTTGGTATAGTTAGTATGAGTATGGTACAACCACAAACACCTTTTTAACTGTAAATCTTTTGAAATTCTTCTCTTCTATAAATTCCATAGTAAAGTCTACTTTATGCACCCCCACCCCACCACCCCCCCCCCAGTGCGAAAAATTACTATCTAAATACACATATGCCCAACTCAAACTATTGTTCTNATAATCAAAACCTGGCTNAACTCTTGTTTCAACTNTGCCTTTTGCANATGTNGGAATTCTAATCATCGNNATCNAAACCCTAGTAGCTGGCAACCGCAATAATCTTGGNCCANCAAATCATNAACTGGNCCNAATACACAGTAAACAGNACCCACCTGGCCAACATGTTCCGNATGNGTAAAAAAACATATTATCTCAATGCCAAAATCATGAAAAACACATTACCAGGCTGCATTGCTTTTTGGTGGTGGTGATGGGGTGTGTGTGTGTCTGTGCGTGTGTGGTGGTGGTGGTGGTGGTGTTTTTATAGTTGGTTGTAATCATCACCCACACGTATTAATGAAATGTATTAGCCTAATAGGATATAAGCAAAGGCATTTCTTGTGTATTCTCTCCAGAAATACAGTTCAAAAAGCCTTGACATTTACAGAATCATTCCAAAAAGAATTAATTCTAAATTCTTAATGAACTTCAGTACAATACCTTAACCTTTCCTCTTTCTATAGTTCCATTTCAGCAGGGTTCGCCTATTATGTTTTTCACTATGTAGAACAAATTTAGATTTGAATACTACGACATGAGACATCTATTTTGCGCCAACATTTTTTGTTTTATTACTTGAAACTTACTCCCTCCGTTTCACAATGTAAGTCATTCTAGCATTTCCCACATTCATATTGATGTTAATGAATCTAGACATATATATCTATTTAGATTCATTAACATCAATATGAATGTGAGAAATGCTAGAATGACTTACATTGTGAAACAGAGGAAGTATATGGCAATTCACATGTTATGGGAATGGTTGGGGATATGGGCCTTTTAGGCCTATTCGAGGGGTCCCTAGACCCAAGTAATGCGACGGTGCCATTGAGGCAGCCGCGCCACGACGCAAGAGAAAAGAGGAAGACTAAAGACTCTTGTTTATTTCTTGCTTAATGAATACAATACAATCCCAATTCTTGTAGTATAGATGGACTAACTTGACTATTAAGAAACCTATCCCTGACATGAAGGAAAGAGCTAACTAATAAATCTCTCTACTCCAAATATGTTAACAGCAACCATGTGAGTAATGTTCACGCAGTACCACCAGCCAAACAGAGGTTGACTGCTCTTTGGGCCCTAATGGGGTGCACATGACATCACACCATATTTTGAAGACAATACATCAGAGATAAACCTGAAGGTGGAAATTGGCATAGCCAAATAATTTCCTGGGTCTAAGCATAGTAACATTACAATCAATATCATGGATGTTGTATGACCCTGAGATAATAGATCCTCAATGTTATGTCAAAACATGCTCTGATAGACACACTTGACACAGATAAATAAGACAACAATTAATAAATTTTCTATGAACATATCTGTCTAACACTGACAAAGAAAATTGAATACAAGGCACGTAAGTAAATAACCTACCAACATGACCAATGAAAACCACATTCAAATGCCGCTTTGTTTCCTTTTCCTCCTCTACTACCTCTTGAGCATCCTCATGTGCAGCAGCTGGACCAATAGAAAAGTTGTATTTCATGCCAAGAGGAAGAAATAAAAAAAAATCAAACAGGAAACTATCTGGGCCATTAGGGTCCAGAGGAAGTTTTGTTCATTAAACTTAGTACTACCTTTACATGAAGACCATAATCTAGATTAACACAATAGTGAGATGGGGAATTGAATCCGCTAACTACTTACAGGTAGAATGTTTTTATTACATGGAGAAAACAGATAGCCCTTTGCCAATTTGAAACAAACTGAGCAAAAAAAAATTAACCAAAGGATGCAAATTTCTTATTCAAGTGCTAGGTAACAGTAACTACAACAACAGCTTGAACAAGGATATCACACATACCATTCGTCTTCAACTCCAAGGACTGTAGTGATGATTGAATTTCTGTAACATCTGACAGGACAGTTCAAACCACAGGTTAGTCCATAGTGACCAAGAACTTCAATGGGGCAAATAAACAATAGCCTCTTCCAAAATAAAGAGATACTCCCTCCGTCCCAAAATATAGCAACCTTAGTAATAGATTAGAGACCACCTAGTACTACAGATTCCTAGTACTAGGTTACTGTATTTTGGGACAGAGGGAGTAACTATGAAAAGAAAAAGGTAGAAAAATTCCAAAGAAAATAAACTCACATGGACGTCATCCTAACTACTAGTTACAAAACAAATACATAAATATGAACATTCTAGATTTTCTCAGCTCATGCCATAATTCAGAGAGAGAAACAAAATATGGTCAGTTGGATATATTGTTGGGTTCATTGAAATGGGCATAGCAGTTTAACCAAGCCAGACATTGGGCTGGCACAGGAAGAAAAATTTGAGAAAGGTCAGTTGGATATATTGTTGGGCTCCTTGAAATGAGCATAATAGAAGTTCTTATACATTTTCTGTTCTTTTTTAGAAATGTTTTTCTACAAGAAACTATATAACAAAGGCCGACATACGCTTGGATTCCAATACCATAAAACTCCATTCTATGGAAAGCTAGAAGGCCATGAAAGGTACCAAACTCATCATATGTGCAGATATGCCCCTATTTGCCATCCAGGTAATCTAATTAACAAGGGATTACCCATTTAATAATGTCATGAAACATCAAAGCCATACGTGTAGACTAACCAAGCACATGGTAAAGTAATTTATGTGTTTCAGGTGCAGGACATGGAATCTGGACAATGACAAAACCCACAAAAGTACAATCAGCTCCATAACACTTCTCTTAGGCCTCAGATAATCATCTAACTGGCAGAGGACCAAAACATTGCATATTCTAGTTATGCACGTAACTGTCAGCTGGAGTGGCTAGCACGAAGCACGATAGATCTAGTGACTCAATTTCTTGTTGCTCTTCTTCTAAACCCCAGCTGAATCTGCAGAAACCGCCACTATATCGTCCTAAACGCCCTTATCCGCCACATAAACGTTGCTGACCCTCCTAAACCTACACGAGGACGCAATCAAAGGCGTCCATGCCACAGATCGGCGAGGAACGAGCTCAGATCTAAGTGCAGAAGCCACATAACAGCCAGCACAGCGGGACACGCACAAAGTGGGGAAAGGGGGGGGAGAGAGAAGAGGAGGAAGGATGAGGAGGAACCTTCAGCCGGGGCCGCGGGAGGAGCGGCATCCGCCACGCCCTCGCCGTCCTCAGTGGCGGTGGCGGCGGCGGCGGCGGCGTGGTGGGGATCCACGGCCATCGGCTCGGTGTCCTCGTCGCGCGCCCAGTCGTCGACGACGGAGGCGGAGGCGGAGGCGTCGCCGAGCTCCTGCGCGGCAGGCGGCGGGGCGTGCGCGTCGTGCTCCATCCCCGGCGTCTCGCGAGCTGGAGCAAAGGCAAAGGCAAGCGCGTGGCGTGGAGGCGCTGGTGGTGCTTGGGGACAGCGTGCGTGCTGTTCCTAGGGTTTTCGCGGAGCGTCCAGGATTTGGACTTCTCTCGGTGGAGAGTGGGCGACGATGCTGTGGCTGGATGGCTGGGATGATGGGGGAGGAGAGAGAAGGCGGCGGCTGCTTTAAGCTGCAAGGACTCCTTGCTTTCGGCTCCAGTAGTCCAGTGGCTCAGTTCCGCCTGGGCCCGTGGTATCGTCACTGGGCCATGTCAGCCCATGAAGCTCACTACTCCATTCTCAACGGTACATTTATTTCGACACATCCTTCTTTCTATCAAGTCAGTCAATTTTTCAGCTGTAAGAAGTTTCTTCAGATTCGTGCTATGCTTTTTTTTATACTCGGTGAAAACACATTTTCATGGCTCCTTGTGTACAAAGTACTATATACTATTCCTGTGTTAAAATGTAGAGCATTCATCTTATTAAAGAAATACTCTTCTAATTTTTAATAGATGACGCCGTTAATCTTTAATATCACGTTTGACCATTTGTTCTATTCAAAAATTTATACAAATAATATTTTTATCGTGATGTTTTAGAATTAACGAAACTTTAAGAGTGACTTATTCTAAAAGTCAGTGGTGGCATCTATTTAAAAAGTAGAGGTAGCATGTAAATATCATTACTTTTTGTTGTTGTGACATTTTTATCAACAGCGTTTTAATTACTTGTATTTTTTCATATTTGCACTATTCTTAATAAATCAAATGGTCAAATGTTATGTCTAAACATTAATATTTAAAAATAGAGAGTGGCATATAGGTTTACTTAAAAGCCATGGGATCGCTGGAAGATTAGGAGCGCCACGTTAGCAATTTTTGCAAAAAAAAAAAACCTGCGCTTTCAGTTAATTATGTGCCGGTCCCCGCTGTTGTCCACCATCCGATCTCACCGTAGGGTCGATCTGGGTGTTGACGTGTCCCGAGTGGCGGCCCTTCCGCACCCGTGGAATCGTCGGATCGGGAACGGACGGCTTAGATTTCATTAGCCCACACCCAACCCTAGCTGCTTCGCCCCTTCAGGTGCCTCTCGCGTGCGTCGTCCCGTCCCCTCTACACCGCCGCCGCCTCGCTCTCCCGCTCCCCATATCGTTGCCGTCTCGCTATCCTCTCCAGCGGATCCAGGTACCCAGAGGAGAGGGACGCAAGCCGCTGCCGCGACACTTCTCCCCCTTCATCTCCATGCCACCACCGCCTCCCTCTTCCTCGCCCTCCACTCCTCTTGGTGAGGTGCCAGATCTTGTTCGAGGGTCGTTGGAATCGATGGTATCGGTCTCCCCAACGGTGGATCCGGTCACCCGGAGCGACGGACCCAAGCGGTTGCCACCGCCCTCTTCTCCTCTCCCGCTCTGCCCTCTTCCTCTTGCCCTCTGCACCTCTAAGTGCCAGGACTAGCTCAAGGGCTGCCGGCGTTGGGAGTGTAGGGTGGGCAAGGCTGAGAAAAAGAAGGATGGATAGCGGTGGTTGCTGGCTTCATGGATGTGCCCGGTTGGTTCCAATCTCCTCTTCCCCCCTAGGTTTCTTCGGTAAGTTCTCTCACCTTCCTCCCCTTTGCATTTTCATCTTTCTTCCATTGATTGGTTTCCTTTCTTTATTTGTTACCAGTGTTGTCGCCTATATCTTGCTTCTTCCTAGAGTTCAATCGATCTGGTGTGGTGGTTGCTCTATTGTATATTTGTATTGTCTAACTCAACAGATTTGGAGGGCCTCTTTTGAGCTCAAAATAATGTTCATGCGGTCTAATCAATTTGTCAAGGGGTATATATGTTTACTCTAGAAGATCATGAGAGGTTGCAAAGACCGGACAAGATTATCAAGCCGACGATGGGGTATGCCATCTGCAATGCTATGGATAATTTCTCCGTGCTCTTATCCTGAGAAGATCCTCTCATCCTGTGTGGGACAAGAACAACATGTTCTTCAAATTTATGAACATGGCATTTTTTAGGGTATGCATAACATGCACATCACAACTAAATTATTTTTCCCTATTTCTTTCAAACAGTATTCACGGATTGATGGTTAGTTTAAACAGGTGCATCATTCTTTGCTTTTCCCAGTGTTGTAATCAGGCAAATAAGGAAGAAGAGTTAGTTTTCCTAATTTTCTTTTGGTTATGTCTGCAGAGACAAGTTCAGATCACATAATACACATAATGGAGCTATGTTTCAGGTCAGAACTTCCAATCTACATCCTTTATTGTTATGTTCAGCCTCAAATTTGCATGATGTTCAAATGTGCTTAGAAATCAAGAACCATAAATGGAATACATTATTAAGCTAGAAACAAATTACAGCCTTACAGAGTTATAGACTTAAAGTAGTTGACCATGTCTCAAGACCCAACACTTTTATCTTAGAAATGTTAATTCAAAACTTTCTCAATGACACTATTTTCCATATATCAATTACTCCAACTCATCTGCTACTAGCTACTGTATATGCATAGTGAACAGTTAGTATTGCTTAAATAATGTCTGGGACTGCCACGTGTACGCCACGTAGACTAAAACCACCGCGGATTGGGTCGAGAGGGGTAATTCGTCCGGTATTCATAGTTGGGGATGAAAAATGTCGGTTTTGTGGTTCGGGGGGTAATTCGGACGACTGCGATAGTTCGAGGGTGTAATTCGTACTTTTTCCTTTCTTAAAACAAAGGGGAAAAAATAAATATGCACCAGCGGGGTATTGAACCTAAGACGTTAAGCATTCCCTCCTAAAATGCTCACCGTGACCTCACCTAACCATCCGAACATATGCTACTTAATGATCATGGTTTGCAAAACTACATTATTATTATTATCGTTGTTATCTAATGACAACAAAAACCGTATTTTTAGCACTATCGTTGAACCATCAGCCCACTGGGCTCAACCTGCAAGTCCCAAAGCCGTCGATAATTTTGGACTGAACGAATAGGCCTTGTGCTTAGTGTGAACAGTTCCCATTAAATTAAAAATTAAAAATGGAATAAGTTCACTGGCCGTCCCTCAACTTTACATCTAGTCTATATGACATCCCTAATCCATAATATCAAGAAATCTTTACCCCTAAACTATGCAAAACCGTATAATTTGGGTCCTATAGCGCTGAATCTCTGGTTACGCTGATGTGACATCCTAGTCAGAAAAAAATAGAAAAATTATGGGACCCACATATAAGTGAGTAGGAAAAAAATTATAGTGTCCGCATATCTTCTTTCTTCTCTTTTCTTTTTTCTCTTCTCTTCTCTTCTTTAGCGAGCGCGGCAATTGGCAGCAAAAGGGGTAGACGCCGGGTGGGGTGGCGGGCGAAGCAGGCAGGCGATATAAGCTATAGCACTTCAGGGAGGTCAAGCTTTGTAGCGACGACGGTGTGGCATTGGCGTTTCTCCGATAAGATGAGCTTCGACGGCTCAACAGAGCCGAGGTTCTGTGCAATGATGATGGGGGCGGCGACGAGCCCGTTCGTGTTGTGGAGGCAATGTATGTCATGCTATATGGCAACGAGGACGGAGCAGCGATGACTTTCAGCAAGCTAATTCCTGCAACAATAGCATGGTGGGTTGGTGGCGATGGACCCATTCACGTTGCGGGAGCGTAGGTTGTCCAGACGACATGCGAACTGTGCTGGGTGATAACAAAGATGAATATGCAGAAATGATTGGTTAAGATTGTTAATTATGAAATGTGGAACTTCGAATAAATCTAAAATTATTTTAGTTTTGTATTACTTAAAAATAAATTTTACTACTGCATTTATAAAATTGTAAAACTAGTTTTAAGGCAAATTTTGCTACAGGACACTGCGACTTTGCGGTTTTAGCTATAGGACACCGCACGAAGTGACTTTTGGGGAAAAACACTCTCAAAAGTTGGATATTTGCTGGTGGACACCGCACCCATTAAAATAATAATTTCTGTATGAGAAGGAGAGAGAAATCACGTGAAATGTCAAAAGTGCCCTTAGGCCCACATGTCAGCTCGGCTATTCCCCTCTCTCCAGCCACAGGAACGGGCGGCGGCGTGGACGACCCCGTCGCTGCTACACCAGTCCAACGAGTTCGTCGTCGTTGTCACGTCGAAGAGATCGGCGATGCAGCGGCAGGGAGCCACCTGTGGCATGCGAACCGCTGTCGGTGCCTGACGCCGGAGACCGAGTGAGCCCTCAACGTTGGCCTCGACGTCGTCGCTTGTAATCACCGGCGCCTCGGAAAACGCGCACAGCGCCTGGGTCTGGCCACCGGAATGGTCTATGGCCGTCGCCGTGATTGGGACAGAGCTGCCTGCAGACGACGATGAGCAAGTCGCCACGGCGAGAGCCGCGTCGTCGTCGTACGCGGACATGGCGCCGCCGCCGCCCGACCCGGCCGAGGCGATGGTGGAGTCGGCGGACTAGAGGAGGCACTGTAGGTACTGCATCTTGGCGCCCTGGATGGCAATGTCGGCGCCACCACCACCGGCGCCCTGCATGATCTGCGCCGCCGCCGCCGCATGCCATCCCGGCGAGGTGGTCCCGGAGGGTGGCGAGCGCGATGAGCTGCGGCAGCGCGGCGAAGAAGTCGGTACGTGGCCGGTGCGTCATGGGGTCGAATCCCATCTGTATGAGACGCTTCTTGAGGTGCGTGTTCTCGTTGTCCGTCCTTTCCGAAAGGTGCGTCGCGATCGCCGCCGCTGTTCCCTGGTGCTGCTGCCTAGCAGAGCTGACATGTGGGCCCAAGGGCACTTTTGACATTTCACACGATTTCTCTCTCCTCCTCACCCGTAAATTATTATTTTAATGGGTGCGGTGTCCACCAGCAAATATCCAACTTTTGAGAGTGTCTTTCCCCAAAAGTCACTTCGCGTGGTATTTTACAGCTAAAACCGCAAAGTCACGAGGTACTATAGCAAAATTTGCCTAGTTTTAACTGTTTCTCACGAAAATAAAATAATTCCAACAAAAATAAAATGTGTAGAACCAGACAAATCGACATTAAATAACTGTCCCTCAATTCTTCCCCTCTTGTTTTTTAATCTCACAATTTTTCTCAATAATCTTTCGCTAGAGAAAATCAAGCTTAAATATAGTTGATCTAAATTTAACATTTCGTTTTTCTCCAAAAATTATTTTGCTCTCCCTCCATTATTTCCCTCTTTTTTTCACTCTTAGCAATTCTTTTCACGTCTTTTGTGATCGCGCCATTTATTCCCTCCATTTTACCCCCTCTAAGAAAACAAACGATAGCTAACCGCCCATGAAAATCTCTCCCCTCTCTCTCATGAGCAAATAGATCCTGGATTTCCTCTTTTCCCATTATCATCTCTTCCTCTCTCTCCTGCCATTCTGCACTTCTTCTCCTCCCCTCAGCCGGCGTCAATCTGGAGGTAAGGTTCTAGGCACTCTGCTGATTTGCTGGCCAACTGCACCGAGCAGGCGAGCTCGATCCCCACGGCTGCTGAGGCCCATGCGGTGAAGCCCCATGCCAGTGGCCGTGTGCTGCACTGCTGGTGAGGTTTTGCCTCCGCGGCGCCGGCCGTCTACTCCGTGCCGCGCAGCCCGTGCCCTGAGGCCTTGCTGCCATGCCCCTGCATCTCCATCTCCCTTCCTAGTTCCTGCATATTTTACTGCCTCGCAGAGTTGTCAAATCGCACTCAAGCCTTATTCCCCTTCAGCATTAAAATATATTACGGATTTGATATATTCAGTATTCAGGTTCTGGAAGAGATGCACCCTTACTTGCTGGACCCTGGTCTACAAACGATTAGGCTTGAACAGCACAGTAAGCAATCCAATACGTAATCTTGTTTTATTCCTCTCTCCTAGATGCTGCAATCTAGCCTTAACCACTTTTGCTTTAAATCGTTCACTGTCCATCTATGTTTGTTTATCTCCGTTGCAGCCAATTAAATAATGTTCTTTCCATCAATTACTTATTCAAATTGTTGGTCTATTAAAATGGACAAAGGAATTAGTGATTGGCAAATAAATCCAAATTGAACTCAATAAATTTATTGTTAAGTTTTTAATGTTTTCACACCTCTATTTGAAAATTATTCACTAGCTAACAGAAGAATTTAGTAAGCTCCGTAGTGGTACTTTTAGGATAGCATCACAGCAGTAGAGTAAAATGCCTAAAATTGTAGTCAATTCTGAAATTATTCTTCTGTAGGATCACTCTGTTGTTCCTCTTTCCATATCCAACTATACAGAAGAAGGTAAGTATTCACTTTACTCTTTGGTAGTCAAAGCCAACGTCAAGCATCAAAGTTATTTGATACCAATGTTTGAAAATAGCTTTCTGAACATATAGAATTAGCAATGTTTTGTTTTTTATTAGCAAAATGACACTAACAAATAGTTACCAAAAGAACCCACCTAATAAGTACATTAGCTGTAGAATTCTCTGTTTGGTCTATCTGTTTCTATTTCATAGTTAAATTGCAGAATCAGGATCCAAAAACTATGTTTGCATAGAAACAGGCAGTGCAGCGCAATGGACTTTATCACTGACAAAGTGACAATTCGATGGAGGTAAAACATGTTAAAGTTCTTACTGTGATGTTCTTTTCGATTCTTAAATTACTTGAATGCTGATCGATATGTATTTATGCACTAGATTGGAAATAGAATATTCTTAAAAAGCTGGAAAACCTTAAACACAAATGTGGCTCTTCCTACAGTTGTAAGCTGTGATCCAACTTGCAAAGTTGGATGTTTTGAGCTAGGAAGTGAATTCTTGATGGTCCATGTGGATGTTCCATAGGTGAGATTTAAAGAATTGATTAGGCCATACAAAAACTACAAAATCGTTGGTTATGTCATAGGACTTGAATTGCGTGGCCTTCAATTATGGTAAGCTGTTATTTCTTTAGTTCTTACTTTAGAGATGTGATCTTTTTTTTCCTCCTGACGGTGCATCAGTGGTTCTGTTTTTTTTTTCTTTTATAGTTTGATAGATAAGTGGGGTAAGATGATGACTTCAAGGTAGAGAATGGTGGCAACTGTAGATGTTGTATGTATATAGTTTAGATCCTATTTTCTTTGCGTATGATGTTCTGAACAACGTTTTTAGTACATGAATTATGAGGATGATTATCTATGTAATAAAAAAATTCTTTGTACAATTGGTTATTATGATTGATTGGTCTTTTCTAATTTGTGCATGCTTTGATTTTGTGGGTCCCTAACAAAACATAATATTGGGCAAAAGCCAGCTGGAGCATGTCAAGACCATCCCGGCCCTCGGCTGCCTTCATCTCAGACTGACTGGTATGTTCATTTCTTGTTTTCGCTGTTTGTGGGTTGATTTCCATTGAGAAAAATGATAACTTAGTATGATTTCCCTTCATCTGGACATGCTTGGAGATTTGCTTCACTATGTTCTTCATGCCATGCCTGTAAAGCAGAGGATCTAAATAAATGATGATTGATCTGTGTGGTTGTTGATGCCTTGATCCTAGCTACTGCTTCTTTTATTAGTTGTACCCAAATGACCTATGCTTTCAGGTCAGTATATATCTGCAGTCAAATGGAATATATGACTAGCGCATAACTCTTGTTTTGTTAATTCACAAGAAGAGCTCATGTAACTTGTTCTGTTGTTGCTTTACTAATCTGTTTGTACCAATTATTCCATATCAGCATTTGCTGAACTTTGCTTATTTATATCCTTGTGTAGAAAGCACGAATTGTTTCCATAAGTGAAAGGAAAGAATTTGATCTAGACACAAGCTCTTGTTGCTGAATGACAAATTGGGACCTACTGACAATCCTTTTGTCAAGTACTTATGTTACTCATGTATCTGGACATGGTTGGTTCTTCAGTTTCTGGAAACTTGATCCTCACCTTTCCACCTCTAGCCCTTTCTTTCTATCTCCATCATTTTCATTTGTTAGATCAACTGGATTAAGGTAGACAGTTGAAATAGTGAAGCAGTGGTGGTTCACGAAAACTGAAAAGTTGTGGGTGATGGAGGAAGCACAGCATGCCACACAGGGATCTCTATCTCTCTCTAGAGTTTAATTGATTCATCTTTATTCTAGACTTCAATTTTCTTAAAGATTAAAGAGTGGTGCTACCATTTATCTATAAACTAGGTGTTTTCTGATTTTGTTTGTTTATTTTTGAGTTGAATATATTGATTGGTCTGCTGTCCTTTAGGTACATATATAAATGAAGGCTTTCTGAAGATATACTTGACTTTCTGCAGTAGTGCTTATGTCAGTTTTCATAATGATTTGAGCCATTATCGAATTTGATCTTTTGATAATTTGGTTGGTTCAGCGCTAGCACCAATTGCTGCTGAAGGGTGATGCTGATTTAAGAGGCAAGGCAAAAATATCAGTCATTTGCATCATACTGAAGCTTTCCGTCAAATATAGGAAGCTTTAAACCTTGAAAAACTTAAATCACATGCTTATATTCAATGCAATTTAGATTGGTCAAAACCAAATAAATTTACTAAAATTTCCCCTGCTTTTGTTGAGGAGAATGTACCTTGATTCATGTGACGCTGCTGACAAGCTTCAATTAGCTACTGGTGAACTCAAGATCACAAGCTACAATGTGGTCTCAAGATGTGGTCGATAGGAGAAAATTCAAACCCAATCCATCTGATTCTTGTTTTGTATAATTCAACTCAGTATCCCAGATGATATGTTAGATTGACAATGGATAGGCATTTTGTAAGATTATACTGCACATGCAAAAATATATCATCCCTATTTATGGATGAAATCTATTATTGATATTCGTTTTCCAATAATGTGATTCAAGCTTCCGATATTATATATCTGGTTGATTCCAATTATTATTAAAATTGAAAATTACATAATATGCATAGGAAAAATAATAGTGATGATTTATTGATAGTAGCAACGCATAATAATACTATACGAATAGAGCTATATGATGCTATCCGTTGCAAGCTTGCAACAAATATTTCTATTTTCACCAACACATAAGCATGTATTGCTACCCAGCCTACCCTTGCAACGCCAGCATAGGCAATGCATACTAAATGTGTTGCTGTCGACACTTGCAACGCTTATACGGGCTTCTAGCAATACATAAATTCGTTGCTAGAAGGGGTTCCTGTTGTAGTGGCATATATTTCAATTGTTTTCCCATATGCTTTGTCAAAACCAGATAATGAAAAAAAACCCTGCTCTCTATTGGTTATTTGATTTTCAGGCTTTCAAGATATTAGACTACTAGCCCTGCATAATTTGAAATGCTATTTAATAAACTACATATGTATTTAAATGTTCAGAAATTTAGTTCCAGTTTAAAATTTCAGGTGTATGCAATGCTGATGAACCACCAAATCTGGGCATTTCCTTCCAAACAACTTCTTTTAGATGAAATAGATTCCGGTCGGTTATTTCTTCCACCGTCCGTCCTTCATTATGTTTGTACTCTTTACACAAGAATGTAGTACTACCATGTCATTGGTATCATGAAATAATACGTAAGTTAGTTCTCACATCTAAATTATCCTATGTCAAATGTGTATATGATTTAGTTCACAACTAAATACATCTAAAGGCCCAACACCAGATCTTCTGCAGTAGCTGTGGCCTAACATCTAAAGCAATTAGGTGAAACCCCGCGCATTGCTGCAGGAATTTAGTATGATAACAATAAAAAAAATAATGTGTAAGATAGCTAGATAACATCAGATTAACTAAATTAATGTGGTTTATGATAATTTAAATTTAAATAGTATGTAGAATGGTGATTCAAACGTAAAAAGTAAGGTGGTATGACTTTATGGAAGAAAAAAAGTAGGGAGATAGTTTGGACCGTAGATTATTCATCTCAAGGCTAAAAACAATTGATGTAATATGACTTAATTAGAGAAAAAAGGAGAAAGATAATTTAGACCATAGATTAATCATTTAAGCTCTAACTAAGTAAGGATGAACCATATAAGTATATATGATATCAAAAAACTTAATAAAGATATACATTGAAACATTATGTGAATTATGTTGGATGATAATTTAACATGTTTGTATTTGAAAAGCTCTTAAATTATAAAAACTATAAAGATATAGCATGTTTGCATGATGTTTAAATGTGATTATTGTTAGTGGATGATGATGTGGCATCTTGTTAATTAATGGATGATGATGTGACATCTTGTTAGTGCATGATGATGTGACATCTTTACATGTTAAGCTTAAGAAGTTAGTGGGAGATAACTTTATAGTAAGATAGGATTAGTAGTACCCATGTTTTTTAGTCCATATGTTCTGGTATTGATGTGGTGATGCTATAACTAGAAAGGTTTATGTGTGATACAATTACTAAAATGTTAACCATAGAAGCAATACAAAGGTTGTGCACTATGCATTAATTGGTACTTTGTATTTTGTTGTTTGCGGATGCAGCAAAAATATATTAGAGTACAAAGGGTAATTTGTCTTGCCATAAGAATAGAATTGATTTCCCTATCTTAACAGGAGAGAATTGAAGTACATAGTCTCTTCTAGTTAATTGCTTTCAGTGTCGTCTGGGATTACAAGCAGTCGATGCCCGATGCCACAAGTGTTAGCATTATATTATGTAAGTGAGAAACTTACGAATACACAAAATCAAATGCTACTGCTGAACCTGCAAATCTGTTCTGAATTCTGATGGGTTTGATGTTTTTGCCTAAAAGTGCAGAAAAAACAAGGTTGGTATGCTGCACGTCTTCAAGATGTTTCGTCGATTCTCACTTTCTACCACAGATCTATTGCGCCATTTATAAACATGGTGAAAGAGATGTATCTCTGAAAGATAATCAATTTATTAGCAATTTCAGTGTTAGGATAATAAATTCATTAGCAATTTCAGCGTTAGGATGTTTTTCTTTTGCCAGCAGCGCAAGAGAAAACAACAAAACAATTTCAATGTTATGCATTTGTGTATTCGACAGAAGGCTCAGTTATGTGCTCCGTGGAGATATTCTTATTCTCTTCTCAAATTGTTGATTGGAGTATTTGGTCGTCCATGTGCATGGTTTAAAATCTTCAACAATATTGTATCGAAGTGGTTATTTTCTCATGTTAGACATAAGAATTCCTTATAGCATGTAATTGTTAATTTAAAATTATCAATAGCTTTGATTTTTTTCTATAAATGTTGCATCTTGCAGCCTTATTTGGTAGAGTGACACACTGCGTAGCGCGTGCCTCTTGCTAGTTTATTTGTTGATCTCAAAGTCTTTTTTACCATGAATACTTCAAATCTTTTAGGCAAATTTTGCTACGGGACACTTCGACTTCGTGGTTTGTCATGGGACATCGCCCGAACTCACTTTTAGGGGAAAACACTCCATAAACGTTGTAATTTGCTAATGGACACCGCGCCGATTAGAATAATAATTTCCGGTTGAAGAGGAGAGAGAAATCGTGTGAAATGTCAAAAATGCCCTTGGCCCACATGTCAGCTCTATCTCCTATCTTCTCCTCTCTCTCTCTATCTTCTCTCCCAGAGGGGCATGGGGCCGACCGTCACGCGGGGGCCTCCGAGCTCCGTCGTGGAGGAGGTGAGGACGGCAGGAGCAGCCGCCCGTGCGCTTTGCGGCGGGACGGGCCGGAGGACGGCGAGGAGGGCCGCGTCGTCGCGCCAACTGCGGCCACTCCCGCGGCGGAGGATGGCAAGGACAGCCGGGACGGCCCGCCGCGGCGGGAGCAACGGAGGATGGCGAGGCCGTGGCGAAACCGGCACGGGGGCGGGCACGATCCGCGCCGCATCCCCTCAAGGAGGGGGCCGACCTTGTTGCTCGACGTCACATGCTCCTTCGTCGTCAGGGACAGCGCGGGCGCCAACATTGCCCACCATGTCGCCCGTCGCTACGCCCTCGCCTCCACTACCTTCGCCAACCTCCGCCTCGCCGGCCTCATCGCCATCCAGCCATTCTTCAGCGGCGAGGAGCGCACCCCCGCCGAGCTCCGCCTCGTCGGCGCACTCATCATCTCCGTCCCGCGCACTGACTGGCTCTGGTACGCATTCCTTCCGCCCGGCGCTGCCCCGTGCCGCATCGCCACGGCCTTGCCGTCGTCCGCCGCTCCCGCCGTGAGCGCTGCAGCAGCCGCTCCGACCGTCCTCGTCGTCCTCCACTGTGGGAGTGGCCGCAATTGGCGACGACAACGCGACTCTCCTCCTCGCCGTCCTCCGCCGCGAGAGCCGCGGTGGCTGCTCCCGCCGTCCTCGCCATCTCCTCTGCCGCGACGAACTCGAGCCTTGGTGACCGACACCACCCCATGCCCCTCTGAGAGAGAAGAGAGAGAGAGAGAGGAGAAGACAGATAGGAGATAGAGTTGACATGTGGGCCTATGGGCTTTTTTGATATTTCACGTGATTTCTCTCTCCTCTTCAAACGGAAATTATTATTCTAATTGGCGCGGTGTCCATTGACAAATTACCACGTTTATAGAATCTTTTCCCCCAAAAGTGAGTTTGGGCGGTGTCCCGCAGCTAAAACCACGAAGTCGAAGTGTCTGTAGCAAAATTTGCCTACCTTTTAAGGTTCTCTTGTAATTATCTTCCATACCATTTTTAGAGCCTACATTTATTTATTATATTTATATACCTTGCTAATGAATGATATACCAGGTCCCAACAGTTTTATCTAGGCCTGGTTTAGTTCCCAAAAAATTTCCAAAAATATCACATTGAATCTTTGGACACATGCATGGAGCATTAAATATAGATTAAAAAAATTAATTGCACAATTAGGCTCAACAGATTAGTCCATGAATAGCCATAAATATTACAGTAACCCACATGTGCTAATGACGGATTAATTAGGCTCAAAAGATTCGTCTCGCGATTTTTATGAAATTAGTTTTTTCATTCGTGTTCGAAAACCCCTTCCGACATTTGGTCAAACATCTAATGTGACACAAAAAAATTTTCTTTTCGCGAACTAAACAGGCCTCTAGTGACCTAAAAAGACAGTACACTCCATAAAAATCTTGAGGTAAAAATAGAGTTTCATACACCATAGTAAAATGACAATTTGGATGATTACTATAAAATCCTTTGTGTTGAATCACACTACTTTCTAGCCAACAAAGGTACATGTATATTCATAATGTACAAAGTAGCCATTCCTATATTCCACACCAGATTACAGCATAACAATGAAATCCATGGCAAAAAAGAAAAGGATGGTGGCATTCTTGTCAAGATTGACTGCATGAAAACATCAAGATTTGAACACAAAATACAGGCTAAAAACTCGTAAGATAGTCTTGGTAAAAAAAGATATGAAATCCTTACATGATATAATCTAATTTTCAAAACATTGCTCACAAACCCCTATTGATATATTTGTTGTATAACAAAGTTGCAAATGCATGACATTTACTTTCTAGTAAGTAAAAGGAATTGCAATTTCATGTACTACAAGATACTGAAAAATTAGGGAAAGCTAAAGAATGTAAAGATGAATGTTCCCCCACAACCATCTATTTCTTGTTTAAGTAAACAGGTTTGGTCTATCTTCAGCAAACAACGAAGGCCTTCCAAATATTTAGCAATCAGCGAAGGCCTTCCAAATTCGTCAAACACCTTTTGGACAGGAGTATCAATGTTACCTAGAAGGCCATCCAATCTTTTCTAGAGTGTCAATAGTACCTAGAAAAGATGTGGGAACCTATATGAAATGAAATGCTTATATAAAAGTTTTTCCTCTTCCTTTGGCTTAAGCAGCAACACTTGAGGTGATCACAAATAATCAAACCCGGTTAGCTCCGACATTGCCATAGGGTCGAATATAAATGAAGCCATATGACAGTTATTAGTAATCAGAAAACTCACCATTACATGCAGAAACAAATCAAGAAAGAGAATCTTAAATTGTTTGAGGAAGTATATATAAAGTCATAAATGTTTTCCAGCATCAAGTACACAAAGCCTGTGATATAAACATCACATTGTAAACCACAAAACAAATATGTATGCTTTGTTCAGGAATGTAGTGTTCTGAAACAAATGGCTGAATTTGTGTTCTGAAATGTAGTGGCATGCGTCAAATGTAATGGCATTATTAGCCCATTTGTTGAATGAAACGATATGGCCTTTGTGTTGAATAAGGAAACTCTATATGTTGTGCTCTCAAACTGTGCCAGTGCCTACAGTAGTGCAGTATGTATTGCAAAACTCCTATCAAGCCATCTTACAGTAGCGTAATACAAAATTAAATTGATCAACAGCATTTCCTGCAAGGAAAATAAAATAAGGCTCTCAACTATTGAGAGATGCATAATGCATAAGGAGTATAGATGTGTAAAAAATAGGCATATTGAAAAACATTGGAAAAATCACATACTGAAAAATAGAAACAATCACCATACCTTTTTTCTAATGTCATAGATTGCAAACTTCATCACCAAAGAATGTAAAAAGCAAAAAAAAACATTCATTTATGGGCCTAATATCAGTATACCAGCAAAATAACCAGTGGTTTTGCTGGATGGCATCACAAGCACCTATCATAAGATTTGAAAAGAGATGCATAATGCAGCTGGAGAAGAACAATCACCAGCACATGCACACACCATGGTGCATCACCAGCACACGCACACACCATGGTGCCCCATATGGCTGTCCTATATATATGGCAAAAATAAGGCCACAATTGAATAGCCTCATAAATTTGATCTTAAATAAAAAGGCCAATGTCTCATCATAAGATAATTTATGAGAAGAATAAAGGGGGAATACAGATTGGACGTGAAACATTCCAAAAATTACTCTGCAATGTTTTTTATATGGAATTTTTTCAGATTCATTAGTATGTTTACTGGCTTACTGCTGAGATGATCCTGCCATTGACCAACTAAACTTTTCTCCTATAAAAGGACATCATAATTTACCCCTATAACAAAATACAAACCGTAGCTCAATATAGATTAATATAGACCATTACCTCTTACCAATGTCGCCAGCTTCATGATTTGGTTCCTAGATTATATAATCAAACTGGGAACTTCAGATTATTGGAGGTTAGAATCATGAAAAGTTGTTGTTCATAATACTGTATTTGCTAGAAGAAATTGAGTTGCCATGGACCAACTTCAGATGGTGTCTAGCGCATCCAGCTTTGTTTTGGGAATTCACAACAGCTGGTTTATTGAATGATGATAAGAAATTCAAAGCAATTAGATAACCAGAGCTTGCAGATGAAAATTATAAGTTCAACAAAGTTCAGTGGATTACTCTAGCAGACCCCTCTTGCTCATAGCCATGTGATGGTGAGGTGCTCCTATGATGTTTCTTGATGTCCGCATGACTATGGGTTGGTAGTTGCCATCTCCATGGCAAACTTGATGCACTTTATTTTTCAAATTTCACGATTGTAGTTTTCAGATATCATAATCTCCTTTTTTGATGTTGTACTGCTGAAAGGAACCAAAACAGAGTTAATCATTTGTTCCGTTATCTATATAACATAACATATTTGATATTCACATAAGTATTTTGGCTATGTTGGAAAATAGTATAAACAATATTCCTTGATGTATGTCTATAGCAAGTACAACCACTAATGACCAATTCAAGAATGGAATTTGTGAACTATCAAAGTATAAACGGTCCACATTACAGATTTTATGTAGAATCCAAAAAAGTAGTATCAATAGCATTATTCATGAAGTAAATATTGCTTTCAACTATTTAGGTTTATGATTTTCGCAGGTTATGAACATCTAGCAACATAGTCTCTTACCATCAGTAACATGCAAAAAAGGAAAAGAAACCCAAAATTAAATGAATTTTCATTTGAAATGAAAGAAAGTTTCTACGTAATGATGTTCCATACTTTTTTTTTGGTGGGGGAGGAGAGGTGTGGAAAGTAGAGCAGAACAGAACATGACTGAAGAAGGAAAAGATCAGCTATAGTAAAGCATATTACCAGTGACATAGTTGTAGGAGGCTAGACTTGACCAGCCTCCTTATCCGCCTCCACCATTTGTTATTTATATGCATTCTTTTATCAGCAAGCACCCATTGATCCTACAATGCATGAATTAGAAAACAAATTAAGTACTACTCAAAAACAAATCAGCTAGCTGCATATTATATTTTCTAGCTCTTCGGCTCCTGACCATTATGCATGAATCATGCTTGTGCCCTTGCGCAGAATAAAGGCTTACATTTTTGCGTAGAAGAAAGGCATGATTCTTTGCCTCAATTATTTCTGGATTGGTATTCAGATGAAAAATCACCTGTTAGTCCTAACTTAGCAGCAAGCAACTTGACTGCAGCTTCTCCATACTTTTCACCATCTCTACAACTTGACTGCCTGGTGCTGTTTGACAGCTTCCCGTCCTCTTGGAGAATCCCTCGTGATTCAGCATCAGACAGGACATAACAGGAATCGTATCAGCAGTCACTATCTAGGTTTCTTGAATATTTATCCAACATAGCCAAGGCTCAAGAACAAAGATCATCAGACATAGAGATCAAAATTTCCACACGTACGGAGAAGATTAAGAAAAGAAACAGGATTTGAGGGACTTACTCGTACTATAGGCTTTCAACAATGGGGCAAACATTGGTGATCTGATGATGAAGTGGCAGATGGGGAAGAGGGCCGACCTCGGTGCTGGCCAGCGGTGGAGTGCACGGCGGTGTCGGTGGCGGCGGAAGGGGCCGAGATCGGCTCCGGCCACGGCGGTGATGAAGAAGTAGGATTCGGCGGCGGCTGCTCCGGTTAGGATGCGGCGGAGCGGCGGCAGCGTGGAGGAGCTCCGGCGAGGATGCGGCTTAAATCACACGGGGAGGAGGAGGAGCGAGCGAGGAGGACGGCTGCGGCGATGGGGGAAGAAGCAGGATCCGACGGAGGTAGTGGCAGTGGCGGCGGCTTCGGCGAGTTTTCAGTGGAGCGGCGGCAGCGGGGAGGAGCTCCTGCGAGGATGCGGCTTCAGTACATGCGGGGAGGAGGATGAGCGTGCGAGGAGGAGAAGCGATGTCTTCGCGGCCGCGGGTGGAGGAGGAGGAGCGAAGTCTTCACGCGTGGAATCCTCGGCGGTGAAATCGTGCGGTGGAGAAATCTTGCGCACGGATGGACGGTATAGATTAATCCGGATGATTTGGCCCGTAGGATTGGAGGGGCCAACTCCTCCTTTTTATATTAGTATAGATTAGTTTTTTCATTTGTGTTCGAAAACTCCTTCCGACATTTGGTCAAACATCCAATGTGACACCTAAAAATTTTCTTTTCGCGAACTAAACAGGCCTCTAGTTAGCTCTGAAGCCGCGTTTTGACTCGAATCAACAACACCCTATGCCTTGGAGTAGCGGCTACCCAAACCCAACAAGACTAGAGTACACATTATTTTCCGATGATTTTTAAGTTTCCGTAAGGCCCAAGGACGGCATAAATGGTCACACACAAACGATGCATATGCCCCGGTTGACTCCTTCAAGGTCCTGCATATTATACTGCGTACTACACAAACAAGACAAGTCACATAAGCCATGTTTTGGGTTGGTCACACCGCAGACATATTGTGCCATGTTGGCTTGACTTAATTGTCCAGAGATGTTGGTATGACAGGAACGGAGTTAACTTAATTACTAGTATTATGAGCTCGTTATGAACATCATATTCAGTAAGTGCGATGACCGTATCTAGATCATGCAAGGAATAATGCTAACCAAATGGCCGGTCGGCCCGATCGATCGATCCCTTTTACTCGCTGTTGGCGCCACCGCTTGGATTTTCTAATGTCCTCGTCGTAATGGTTGAAAATGGTATATATAAATGAAACGTATCATTTTATTATTATTTTTCAGAAACAGTCGAAAAATTTCCATGCTTATGAATTTACATTTACTTAGACGGTGTTTGAAACTCATGTAGACTAGTAATATGCGCGTGCTAAACACTACAGTGCAATTCTATTTGTCTTTATAGCTGAATTAAGCAGTGGTTTTATTTTTTTCAGTCACATCACTTTTTTTTCTTACAAGTGGCATAGTAATACTTATAGATTACACAGAAAATGATTATAGACACATATGGAGTGAATTACAACTTCAGCTGAACTAATTGTACAAGCCAGTCATGGGTCAACAATAGAAACATGTAATGCATATTTGGAAGTCCGTCATCACATATATAGTGATTCCTTCCATCATATAGACAAGCCGCTCTCAATATAGCATCTCGGAGTCTTTTCTGTTCAGCTGTGAGTAAGGAATCAACAAGGAAATACTTCAATCTTAAACATATCGAGAAATCAAATCGCAAACAAAGAATGCACCATTTCATCATAAAAGAAATATATGATGCCTAGATAAATTAGCTTGTACTTAAAAAATGAAAATTGACATTTCTTCTAACATTTTGGTCCAATTGAGGATAAATCAAGAAGAGAAAGGAGCTCCCTGTACCAAAAGTACTACCTAACCAAAAGTAGCATAATGAGAATATATGATGCCTAGATAAATTAGTATGTAATTAAAAATTGAAAATTGACATTCTTCTAACATTTTCGTCCAATCGAAGATAAATCAAGAAGAGAAAGGAGCTCCCTGTACTAAAAGTAGTACCTAACCAGAATTAGCATAATGAGATGGTTTTAATGTTTCACAAAATGAGACCTGGTAATATGCACATGAGTAGTATATTTTTCCCAAAAGGCAGAACCAGACCTGGTCATCGATAATAAAAAAAAATATTCCTTCATTGGATTGACTGGCACATACAAATAGAAAGGTTAGGCCTTGAGATTTAGTAGCATTGAATTGTTGATCCTAGAAAGCAATGGGGAAAAATAGGTACAAAAGGGTCAGGGTTGACATGGAGGTGATGCCATGGTGCCCAATTATGCTTGTTCAAGTTTTGAACAGGAGATCTAGTTTTGCCAAATCGATTTTAAACCTAATAACAAAATACAGCCATGTCATATCGGATCAACTCCATACAGTAATTTTCATTACACAAAAATTAAACTTGTCCCTTATTTTTTTTAAACAGGAATTGGAAATTGATCCCATCCAGACTATTGAACGGAGGGAGTAGTAATTAGTATCAAACCAGCATCCCGAGCCTAGTAACATTGTTCACTGTCTTATCGCATAGAAATAAATGGCATGGTTCCGAAAGTCCATTGTTCACAATTTCATGGCACAAAAAGAAGCTAGTTCAAACTAACATATATGCCACTGTAAACGAGTTCCATCGTCTGCACACTCATAGTTCAATTTTATAAAAAACATGACCAAAAATGGTATAGCCAGGTGAATACATTCTCCAACTTGAAGCACATAATATAAATTTCTCACATATAATCAGTTGAATGCGGCTACAACTTCATCTTAGGATCAGACGTAATATTGGTGCTCCATCTTAGGGTTACCTACAAGCGTAATATTTGTGCTCCATCTTAGGGTTTTTTTTGTAACAATAGAAGAAAAGACAACAGTTCATACATGATTTTGCTGTTTTTTTTACTTAATACATGATTTTGCTGTTTACGATTATGATTTGCAAAGCCCAGCAAGCATGCATAATGCATTTGCTATGAATCAAAACAAACCAAAACTGAACTAATACAATGTACTACGTCACAATGAGATGAGTTTTGTCCAGGTTGAATCTCAGAATATATGTGAAAAAAAAGAGAAATTGACTTAACCTTGTTTGTAGGGGAGGGGGCTCGGAGGATGGAGAGCACGATGTAGGCCGGCATCTTTAGGATCAGATGACTCTGTGCACTGTAGGGTATGTCTGTGTTATAGACGGTGACGTGTACAGAGAAGATAGGCCTATTCATTGTGCATTCCCACACAATCGCTGGGACACGATCACCTCCACACCGTCGGTTTCGCCTCCAGGCCCCTACTGTAAAGAGGAAATATGAACAATTGATCTCATCTTGCTTATGGCACATAACAAGTAATAAATAGAAATATTTCCAGATTCAAGCAATATTGCTGGTTCAAAACTATATTGGGGGATATGCATCATTTATACTCCAAATAAAGCCAGCACCAAATCTTAATACAGGAAATATATGATCAAACCCAAGAGTAAAAATGCACCATTTCTAATTTGGATGAATGACAATCAAGTCCATTGCCTCTACATATAATGAGGCATGTTCTGTACACTCGGTCATCAATTTTATTCAGAAAATGACGATCTATCTCACAAGTATATGGACTCGATTATTACATAAATGCTACACATAATTTTCACTGTAAATTGATTGATTAGACAAGTACTTAATCATGCATGGGTGGTACAGTGGCAAATAGGGAAACAAATCAATAATAATATAATTTTGACCCATATTCCTATAAACTATTCAATTATGATATATATATAAGGCTTTACTTGATTCGGCGGCAATTCCAGCCAAGAAATTTGATGTCAAATTGAGCAGTGAACTGAAATCTGTGTATTGGTTGTAGCTGGAAACATTTTAACTTGTAATGATCGTTTCTCAAAACTATCTCTTCTCACAAACATAGATGAAGTGAAAAATTGAGCACTACATAAATCTTTATAAGAATTTGTATGCAAGAAAAGACTCCCATATTGAACACAGTTGTAAATATGAGTAGGTTCCAAGAAGTTGAGTAGCTATACAAGAAATCATGGTATAGAAAAAAACCGAGGAATTGTAGGAAACCTTACTTTCCTCCCATATCACAGAAATAAGCACTCACCTTCAGTAGCATACAAGGAATTGTAGTGCACCTCACTCAGAAGCTTAACCAAAGCTATACAAAAGGAACCAAGGGAATGATCAAACACCACTATTTTTCATTGGGATTTACCAAACCCATGCACTAAATGGCCAATGCCATGAACCTGTTGCCATAATTGGAGGTGAAAATATGAGAAATAACTGCACTATATGCTGTTTAGTAGGAAACATGGTAGCATATGCTTCTCAAGTGTAACAGCAACATATACTCCTGTATAAAAATTCAGCATACTTTAGGTTCCACGTGTAGTATTCATTTGAAAAGGGAACTTCATGGCATTAATACAACATAATCTTTTGATCTAAGCACAATTCAGAAGCAAGAAAACTGAATGACTGTTATGGAGAGTGTCAAGTTCGTCTTGTTCGGTTAAATATCTTAACTATAGAGTCTTCAGAAAGAGTGACAACAGGAAGGTGATTCCCCATCTTAGTAAGCAGCAAGAATCTTTAGGCAGAACAGTCAACCATGAAGCTACATTTTTTATAGAACTTCTACTCTCAACAGAAGTACAAAACTATTATGTTTGATCAGATTGTTTGCACAATCTGCAAAGTAGGCTACTGGTAGCATAAATGGCAGCCCTTAACAGTTATTAAGCCCATCCATACATCAAGTTTAGGTATAAGGTCACTTGAAATAGATCCATACCATAATGCAGATGTTTGCCAGTCAGGAAATTGCTGCATCTTTGTCCAGATGTCTATGACTGGATGGTTCAATTCTTTAGCAACTGTCAGGCATGCCTGTGCATAAGTGCCAGTAGCCTCATTGGTTCTTTCAGGTAGTTTTGAAGGGTCATCTTCTCCATACATGTCCCTGCAAGGAAAGACAGGGACAGTCAGTAAGGTTCGCAAATCCTCTTTACAAAAAAAAAAAAAGAAACATTGTTTACTTTGTAACTTGAAAAAAGAATCTTCAGATCAAGCTAAGGGCCACCAAGTGGTGACTGGATATATACCCGATAAACCAAATATGAAATAATCCCATAATGTAGAATACACATACTTTTACATGAGAAATACATACAACATGGTGGTCAAATTGCATACGCTGTACTGTACTGGTGCATTATGAACTCAGTTTTAAATTCTTGAGCAAAGTAATTTTTATCGGAGTAATTCAATGAACAGAGAGCACAAGCAATTTCCTGGCTGACCCCTTTATTGTCGTCTGTTCATGACAATTAACAGGAATTAATGCCATGGATGAAATAAACAGAGGATGGCAAATACACCGTCATGCCATCAACAGGGAAATGCAACAAGAATGCCATATAGCAACATAAAACCGATTAAAACCATCTTGTTGTTATTCCTTTCCATCCTTATCGGATTCTCAATGGTTCATAGATTGGTGGAGGCGTGATGAATATAATTTTAGTGGAGGGCCATTGCTCCTGCGAAAGATCCAAACCAAACCAGAGTTAAAGCAACCATAAAGCAGCAGCATCAATCCAAGCAGAACCTTGAAGTAGGCGCAGATGGCGCGGAGGTTGCTCTGGTACTCGTCGAGCGGCACGTGCTGGTGCACCTGCTTCCAATCCGGCAGCGACGTGTCGTTGGCGCCCAAGAACACCGTGACAGCCACCGGGTCTGCCGCCCCCACGGCGGCGGCACCCTCCATCGCCCTCGCCAGCACCCGCAGCGCCCACCGCGTGTTGTAGCCGCTGAACCCGCGCAGCACCACGTCGGCCTTTCCAAGAAACGATGACGTACGCATGTCGGGATGGGACGGCGGCCGGAGAGGAGGGGGTAAGGAGGGAGGGTATCAGATCCACGCAGATCGGATGCACTTCGCGGGGAATCGATCGGGAGGAAGCAGAAGGATCGGACCCGGGACGGGGGAAGCACGGATTTGGAAGGGCTGCGGGAGAGAAGGGTGAGCGCCGATCTGGGCGCTGTGGGGCGATGTGCGAAGGAAGGCGTGCGACGGATCGCGTGCGTGATTTTTCTGGCAGTGATCCCGCGTGCGTGTTCTGTCGTTGGATGCGATGCGATGGATGATTTTTGGTTCTTAGATTTGATGAATTAAGTATGAAAGATGTAGGACAGTGTTGGTGAATTATAATGTAGATGAAGATTAATAAGTGTGTTATGCAAAAACGAGGTGGTATTAACGTATGATTTATTGATATTTAATTATTACAAACTTGAAAAATATATTTATATGATATTTTAGAGTAACTTCCATATAGAAAGTTTTCGCACGAAACGTACCGTTTAACAGTTTGAAAAGCGTGTCATAAATATCCAAATTTTCATCCAACTTTTGTTGGAGAAAAGAACGGGGCCTTAGTGTCAACTTCAATGTGACTCTAATATAAATTAGAAAAACTTGCGAAAGGGCCTGTACCCTAGTAGTTACAAGAGCCTCAGTGGTACATGAGGTCCTGAGGTCCTGCGTTCGACTCCCCATGGGAGCGAATTTTCTAGGATTAAACAGCGTTGTGCTTTCAGTGGTAGGCGATGTATCCGTCGACAGCGAGGCGTCTGTAGTAACTTCGTCAATCTTGAGAATTTGCCGGCCCAGTCTCCGAAGAAGCTCATAGGGGTGAGTGCGCGTGCGTTGTGAGTCTCTGCATTGTACTGTGTAATTCTAAAAAAAAAAGAAAAACTTAATTTTACAAACGGTAATAGTTGATAAACATATTATTATTATATTAACTTTGTGGAAATGTACCCGTCGACAGCGAGGCGTAGTGACTTCGTCAATCTTGAGAATTTGTCGGCCTAGTCTCCGAAGAATCTCATAGGGGTGAGTGCGCGTGCGTTGTGAGTCTCTGCATTGTAATGTGTAATTCTAAAAAAAACAAAAACTTAATTTTACAAACGGTAATAGTTGATAAACATATTATTATTATATTAACTTTGTGGAAACGATATCGCTATGTCAAAAACTTTTGTACCATTGATTAGCCAGAAACGAGACTCTTTTTTTCTCCTTCTTTAGTGAGATTTAGTTTTTCTTTTCCCTCCAAAGTCTTTGGAGGGGACTATATTATTAACTAAAAACACATGTTTCATTGTGTCACATCCAAAAATTTAGCAAAATTTTTAGACTATTTTGTTTATAAATCTATGTCCAGAAATCAAGCTAGGGTACACAAGATAACAAATTAGTATAAAGATTCAAACTAAATAAAACGTAAATACTTATGAAAGAGACACTATCCTCACACTGAAGAGAAAACAGCAGCAACAGCGGAAAATGGGACGATCCTAGCGGGGCTTCATCTTCACTCTGCATGCAAAAACTCAACTGGGATATAAGTCTTGGTCCTCTAACACTGTCTTCAGCTCAGAAGTAAGACTTATGAAAAGGGGGAATAATAACAATACAACCACAATACTCAGCAAGTCACACCAACGATGCATTCGTGCAAGGGGAAGCAAAGGGAGGTTTGCGGCTATCTTTGTAATCTAAAGTTTAATTATTTGTATGCCTTATTACTCTATGCCAATGCTGTGATGAAAGTGTTTAGTTAGTCTCTTGCTTTAGGACTATCTTGACATGAGTATGAATTTTGGGCAATTGAAATGTTTGTGGATTTCTAGTAATTTGAGTCAAGTCTCCTTATGTGTGTAATGCATATGGTCGTCACCATCAAGTGGTTGACGGGTACACCTTAGATTGAAGTTGACTGGCAAGTTAAATCCGATGACTATATCATGTCACGCCCCGATTTTCGTTCGGGATTAAAAATCATTAAATAATGCATTTTCTAGAAATTATATTAAAAGTTAAAGCAATTTAATCAGGTGAAATATTGAGGGAATTAAAATTTCCTTTGAAAATCATAGCCGGAAATATTTTTGTAATATTCTCTGTGTCTTAATATACTCTCCGGATTTTCCCGTGAATTTTCGGTGCTCAAGAAGTAATTTTAATAGCACAAAGTTCATTAAACCAATTATAATAAAAAGAAAACCAAATATAATTCCCCTTCCTCCCTTTGGGCTCGGACCAAGTCATCCCTCCTTCCTCCCGGGCCGCCCGTCGGGGTCATCCCCTTCCTCCATCCATCCCTAACCCCCCAGCCATCCCGAGCTGGCAACCACCGCCCCACCCATGACGCCACACATCCTGCGCCACTCCGCCGCTCCCTTCTCCACCCCGCGCACGTGCGCTCGTGCTTGGGACCTCGTCGCCCCACATCCCCGGCCTCCTCCCCCACTCCTTCCAAGAAAACCGGCGCCGGTTTGACCTACCATCCGCCCACATCGTCGCCGGTTTCCGCCTCTCCTGGCCACGATCTCCATCTCCGCGCCCATAAAAAGCATCCCCGAGGCTCTCTCTCCCATTCCCCCCTCCACCCCGAGCCCGCCGCGCCTTCTCCCACGCTCTCCACGCCGATCCCCACCTCCGCCGCTAACCGATGAGCTCTGGCCGCACGCTGTCGTCGCCTTATTCGTCGACGCGCCGTGCCGTCACCGCCGTTTGCTTTGCCGCGCCACGCCGCACCCCGGTCTCCACTCTATTTTCCCCCTCCACCGCCGGAACCACCATTCTACCTCTAACCCAAGCAACCGCCACCTTCGGCCGCTGCTCAGCGCCATTTCCAGCCACCTCACGCTGCGCCACCGCCTCCATCGCGTGCGCCGCAGCGAGCACAACTCTGGCCACCTCTTCTCCGCCGCAGGAGCACAGTCCCACCTCCGTCCCGAGGAGCCCACCGCCGCCGGCCGTCGCCATGCCCCCTTGGCCGCCGCCCCTCGTCGGCGCCACCTCAGTGAGCACCCCTCTCCCTCCCCCGCCACCTCTACTCCCTTCCGCCACTTACCGCGCCGCCGCTCGCCGCCGATGGCCATCTAGCCGACCAGTCGGGTCGGCTGGCGAGCCAACCCGCCGCTCTGTCTTTCACCACCACCATGGACTCAGTCCACGGTGGACTAACTCCTTTGGCACCACTGACGTGTGTGGCCCGCCCTTGGTGGACGCGTCCACGCCGGCCTCTTTGCTGACGCTAGCCATAACATTTTCCTTGGAAAAATAATTAATAATTGCGCAATAAATCAATAATAATTCCAGAAATTCATTTAATGGCTCAAAACTTCTAAAATTCGTATCTAATTCATACGAACTCCGAATTGAGCCATTCAACTTGCAAAATTCATCTAAAATTGAGCTCTTCATGTTTGTTTACTTTTCATGTACTGTTTACTTGGTTTTTGTTAGAGTTTTTTCTCATTTTGTGTGCCTATGCGTAGTTTCCGCCGTTTCGGAAGTCCGCGGTCGTGAGGAAAAGAGTTCAGAAGACGTTTTGAAGAAGCAAGGCAAGTCATACATTCCCCTTGAGCATGTTGAACCTAATTTACAAATGTTTTATTGTTTGCAAATAAAATTGCATGTCTTGCTAATTACATGGGATTATGGGTTTACCTATCTGCTCGCTTGTATCATGTTTACTTGACTTCTGTCCTTTGCTAACCTTAGGTGATAATTTGCCTAGCTCATGTTACTTATGTGACCTAGCTTGAATTATATATGTTTAGCCATGCTTAATTACCACTAGCTCAGAAAATGGGATAATTTAGTATCATGACGACCTGCGAGCTCGAGACATTCGGCCATGTTTCATTGGTCGTAATTATCCAACTAAAATGCGACTGAATGGTGGGCTGTGGGTGCATGGTTTTGCTAGTTGCACCCATAGCAATTAAGGATCGGTTCACAGGAAACTCTGGAAGACTTACTGTGCTTAACACAAGCGGGAGCGGGTAACTGCTTGACTTGTAGTATAGCTCGACCCTTTCCTAGGCACCGGTGGCGAGGGTAGGCGTGATGGAGTTGGGTCGGCCGGGGTGTCCGGTTGTCCAACTGCCAGATTCACCGTGGCGCACCGGGGGACTGCTCACCTCTGGGGTAGGGGGTGGGGGTGAAACCTTAGCGTGGTGTGGATGGTTAAGGGAGAGTTATGCGAATGGTCTTGTCACAATCACTCGACATGGTGACATGTTCATCATGGGCACATGATGACATGGTAACATGCTGGTGATTGTGTCTTGTGGGTACAGTTGTGCACTTCTGGCCAGAGTAAAACTATTCGAATAGCAGTGCCCGCGGTTATGGGCGATCAACTAGATTCACCATGATTAGTCCCATCCTTAATAATTTGTTAATGAACTGGTGTAGTTCAGGTGGTTTGGTTGGGCCTGTTCAACATGGTGTAGCGTTGATCAATGGAGATATAATCTTGCCTTAATTAATCAATTGGTTAACTGTTTTGCTCAATAAAATGCTTTGCAACCGCCTTTATGCAAATAGCCACAAACCATCCTTGTGTCCCCTTACACGCTTGCATCATTGGTGTGGCTTGCTGAGTACGGTGGTTGTACTCAGCCTTGCTATTATTCCCTCTTTCAAAAGTGTAGTGCTTCTGAGTTAAAGACGAAGTTAGAGGACCAAGGCTCAGATCCCAGTTGAGTTTTGTCTGTGGAGTGGAGCTGAAGCCCCGCTAGGATCGCCTTTTTTCCGTTGCTGCTGGTTTTGTTTCGGTGTGAGGACTAAGTGCCTCTTCTGTAAGTATTTTATGCTTTATTTACGTTTGGATCTGTATATTAATTTGTCGTTTTGTGTACCCTGACTGGTCCTGGACAGGGATTTAATACACAAAATAGTCTGGAAGTTTGGGCTAAATTTCTGGGCGTGACATCTCCTTTCGTCATTATTCGACACTGCGGCTTTTATATCAAATGGTGTCATGTTATTTATGCATATATGGATCCCAGTCATCCAAAATCATGTGTTGGTCGCAAATGGCACTGGACGATATAATTCTGGAGTGTCCCTACAATGGTGGACTTGTTGGGCTCGGGCCAAAATTGCAAACACGGACTTTCCCCCCAAAATAATAAAGAGTAACTAGATGGATTACATCCCATGTATCTCCATACACTGTTACAGAAATGCACTTATGTTTCGGTTGGGAAATCCGGCACAGGTGGCACCTTTGAGTCTCCCGGGATGAGAAAAGAAGTCATCTCGATGCATTGGCTCAAATTGAGCCCATGCACCGAGCGCATCCACCCCATGTTGCCCCGAAATCAAACACGCGTTGCCCCTTGAAATCAATGCACAACAAACTCCCAACAATCAACATCGCCGTCACAGAATTGACATCGCAAAACAACAGCAATCTCACATAATCAACATCTAAAAATAAAGTCGATATCATAGTCATCGTCGAAGAACATCTAAGAATAAAACTCAAAGGAGGATGCCTAGAGGGTAGTATTAGGCTTCTGCCGCCGCTGCTCTACCCTCGCCGTCCGCCAGTTACGCTTTGTGGGAGCCACCGTCGTCGCCGTTTTCCGTGAGTCATGGTTGGGTTATGCTTACCGGTGTAGGGTAGGAGAGAGGGTTATGTACACCGACTGTATCGTAGGAGGTATTGGTGGGGAATGTCTGAAGGACCTCTTTGTCCACGCGCTAGAAGGAGGTAGAAGGAGGAGGATGTAGGTAGGAAGTAGTCGGGAGGGAGTTGGCGGTGGAGGGAGAGGGGGAGGGGGAGGAGGACCACCGCCAGCGAGGGAGGTGAGATGGTGGGTGGGAGAGAGAGAGAGAGAGAGAGAGAGAGAGATGGGGGGTTGACGTGGGTAGGGATAAGGACGTCGGCCATGTGGGCGAATGGATAAGTATAGCGAGTGGATATGGGTGTCGAACTGTCGAATGATTGGCTCGGCTCGGTTTTTTTTGTCGATTTAAATAAAACCGGCACCTATGATATATTATAGGTGCCCGTTCTTTTAGAAAACCGACTCTTATAGCATCGATGCTGGTTTTTCTTTAGAGCCGGCACCTATAGTTGCTGAAAGAGGTATTGGTTCTATATTTTCCCACCCCGCATGGGTGGGAAAAAGTCTGTAGCTGCCGGTTTTAGCTTCTTCCCTTTTGTGGGTTTGTATTGTAATGGTCCGCCATAGTAGTTCCAAGGGAAACTTGAGTGCAGCCTTGAAGCCTGCTCCTTTCAGGTTCTCAATTATGTTCATACCACTGCAGTGCACATACATCCGCTCATACATATATAGAGCAACATAGATAGCCAGCCATGGCTAGCTCCAAATCCGTAGATGTACCGATACATTCTTTCACTATGAACAATCCATATCAGTAGATCGATACACCGAAGCATCGACCATGCACGCACACATGTCGGTGATCCGCTGTCGTCTCAAGAGGTCGTGGCAGCGGCGGCACACACCGGCAGGTCGTTCTCCTGGGTCGGACGCTGCCCTAGGATGGGGTTGCTCTCAAAGAAGTTCACTGGCTTAAGGTCGAAGCTGGACGACACCGTGGGCATGATGGGGAAGTCCTCCTGGCACGGGACATGGTGAAACCCCAGCGTGTACCACAGCACCAGGTCCTTGTTCTCGATCGGACGGTCCCTGTTAGGTCACGTACGTAATTGCGTGACAGGTCAACGATGACCACTCGATTAGTTACAACTCCTGTTGAATTGGTTGACAAAAGTGTAAGTGATTGTTAGTATGTTGTTACCTTTCGGACCAAGTTGCAAGTGTGTCCTCCCCTTTGCTCTGGTAGACAAATAGACCACCAGCCCATTCCTCTGTTTTGTTGTAGGGTGTCACCCAAATCTGTAGTACAAAAGTGAACCAGATTTATAGCCAAATATATCTTCTTTTATGTATGATTGACAGACTGTGCACTTTTCCCTTATTAGCCCTCTAATAGTTCTAATTTTATTATGTATATGGTGCTTTTTGTTTGGAATGTATAGAGTTCACATAATTCTCTCATAACTTTTACACCATATTACCAAAATTCTATGAAATTTCTTCATGTATTATATCTTCCTTTCAAATCGAGGTCCCAAATGATCCATACCCTATGTCTATCTAAAAACATTTATGTGTGTATGGTAATTTGCAATAATTAGTTGGTTTAATTTCTACCTTGGTATTAATACACTATACCACCCGAATTCGATACTATTGAAAAGTTGTATCTCACCTGATTATTTGTGAATGCACCCCTCTTCTGAGGTGGGTCCTCTGGATCCAACAGGCTAGCTGCAGTACCGGCTGGGACAACCTTATAACCAACAGGGTTCCCAACTCGTGTCTTCTTCATGGGGTTGACAATGTGGAACTCGGATGGCTCATATAGCTTCAGGCGGACCTGGGCATCTTTCTCCGTCCTTGCGACATGTCGGGTAGCCTTCAGGTAGCTCTTACGAGGGGATTCGCCGGCGCCGGTGTTCTGTCGTGCCATCGCCACCTTGACGAAGGAGTTGTCGGCGCCGTCAATGTCCATGTCGAGCCGGAAAGTGACAAAGTGGTCATGGATGACGCCAATAACGTTCTCAGACAGAAGGGTGCCGTACATATTGTCATTTTGATGGACCTGGTTCATGTGGGAGTACTGGGTGCCCTTCACCATGAGGATCCCACTTAGCCCAACCTGCAGTCACAGTCATTGCACCCGGAGTTAGCTATGATGCTACTCTTCTATCTTAAAATAAACAAACTACGTTTATGATGTGACACATTCTAGTACTATGAATAGGAATATGCTATGAATCTATGGTACTATGATGTGTCACATCCCGTATTACATTTGTTTATTTTGAGATCAAGGGAGTAGTTTAGTAGTATTATTAAAAACACAGCTAGTTTAGTACATAAGCCAAAATTTACTCACTCAGAATTAGGTTTGGATTGTTGTTAATGTGCTGTACTTGATTTACTGTGTTATGCTTATTTTTAAGAAGTTGTCAAAATGAAAATTTATATCCATTATTGCTTGTTTTATAGATTATATCAAGGTTAGAAAAAATATGTTATTTAACTGTCAGGCTTTCTCAAAACGAAATCAGTTTGCCAAACACTGAAATATCATAAAAAATTCTTTAGATCAAACAAGATTTCCATAGTCCATCTCATCACCGTCCCAGGAGGAGTGTTAATAAATACTCCTATCAACTATCCCACAAATAAGAACACAACTAGGTCCAACAAAAGAAAAAGAGTATGAATATTCCAAAATTGTCGTATATAAAATTGTTTGTCATTCGCAACAAAAAGAAGAACAGTGATGTGCAATCATGCAGGGAAGAGGGATATATATATTAAAGATTCGTGCTACCATACTGTCCTAAAAGATGTGGACTGATGCAACATGCACCAATTGGATGACTTCTTCTGCCGATCAAAGCGATGAAAACGACACCCATTTTCTAGACAAATTGTTCACTCGAGCTGTTGGCTTATCAAAAACTTATAAGACTGAGATATCAAACTGACGTGTGCATCGTACGATGTGAAAGATCCAACTAGCACAAATCTCGGGGGGTGTTTGGATCGAGGGATTAAACTTTACACTATGTCACATCGGATGTTTGGGTATTAATTTAGAGTATTAAACATAGACTACTTACAAAACTAATTACATAAATAAGAGCTAATTCGCGTTACAAATTTTTTAAGCCTAATTAATCTATAATTAGCACATGTTTACTGTAGCATCATACATGCTAATTATGGATTAATTAGGCTCAATAGATTCGTCTCGCGAATTAGTCCAGAGTTATGGAATGAGTTTTGTCAGTAGTCTATGTTTAATACTTTTAATTAGTGTCCAAACATCCAATGTGATAGGGACTGAAAAGTTTTAATCCGATCCACCGAGAGAATCTCTTTTGGCTCCTACGGAGAATCTGCTTGCATCTAGCTACTATATAAACACTAGCAAACGGACATCAACAAGTGGATACGGGGACATGGGGTGGATAGACGACGATGCTCCATCGCTGTACTTTCTTTGAATAATTAACAGTAATGCTGGTGTTTGGTGATTATTGTTCATCAGATTTTAGCTGGCTGATTATTGTTCAGATTGTTTTGACACGGTGATCTCTCCCTGCCTTTATCCGATGCTGTCCTTTTGGAGATATGGGTTTTAGAAATAAGAACACGAGGACACGTGCCTTGTTTCTTTATGTCAAATAATCATAAAATATACTCCGTATTAGAGAAGTCTGATAACATGGAGCAAGTGCTATTCAATTAGTTGGCGTAAGATCAAATTAAATGCACACGTGAAAAAGATCTGACGTGTACACTATTTTTCTCAGCTGATTTTCATCATATGTATTAAATATTTTTTCCCAGTTTGTCGAGTGATTTTTGACACCATAATTTCTGGTGTGGAAAAAAATATTTTTTTTAACTATTTGAATGACGTGTTAAAAAAGCAAATCCTGAAGTATTTTCACTGTCCTTGTCATCACCACCTCTACAAGTAGCTTAACAATCTCCAATACAGCCAGTTAGAGGGATGCTTCTGCAAACTAACCTTTTTATCTCGTGATGTAGCATGTAGGATAGATAAGAAGGATGCTAGTCTCAAAACAACAATGATCGATGAAGGACCTATGCTTAACACTTCTTTTATACTCTCTTCTTTCTCCGATAATTCTTCCAGATTAATAATACTTGTCAAAATGACAACAACATGGTCTCTAGGAAACAACTTTGGGCACTATTTTCTTTATAATATATATATATATATATAAATATCAATAAATATATGATTTTTATTGAAGTATTTTTTTAACATAATCTATATGTCTGGACAATATATTTGTAAAATAAATATTTAAAAAATATTTATAGTCAAAGATTTAAAAATTTGACATTAAGCTTGTCCAAAACAACAAGTATCATCAACCCAGAGGGAGTAACTAACATGGTTGACTACAACTATCATACTTTAACCACAGATTATTTTGAAATAATTGTACTATGATGAAAAAATTATATGGTTATATTTATAGCACTACATACTTCGATTATATAACCTATCAGCTTTTAACCATTTACAAAGTTTTTTTTTAAAAAAGATAAGTGGCTAAAGTTTAAACTTGAATTGTCCTAGTGTTAATTATCATAGAATGGAGGGAGTATTTAAAACTGTTCCCAGTACATTGATTGATATGAGCCTAGGAGAAGATACTTCGAGTGCTTGTTGGTTTATCAGCCTCAGGCAAAATTGAATTTCAAAACGCCCTTAGCCCTCGAGCAAGTAACCAATGAGAACATCTGGGTTAATTAACTAATTATAAAGTTGATTTTAAGTATTTTTTTTCATCCGTGTTTAGTTTCTATCATTGGCTTTTAGACCATGCACAATACATATACAACTTTTTTCCTATATATTGTTTTAGTCGTTTTGTTCATTTTTCCTATATGTTGTGCTGGCGACTTATGTGGCACCTACACGGGTGTGTACGAGTGTGGTGGTGGATGCATGGATGCGTGGTGAGGAAGAGGATGTAGACAGAGCAGAGAGCAGCGCGCGGTGGCTAGCTTACCTTGATGCGAACGAGGCCGTCCATCTGGAACTCCCAGTCGACGATATAGTCGTAGTTGGCCACCGACGCCGCCATGCGCGCCACCAGCGTCACCTTCGGCCGCGACTCCCTTATCTGCATTTTGCAAAGTTATGCACCGCACCGCAGCGACACAAAATCAATCATCCATTCGTATCAGACATACAGACACAAAGGCAAAGTGTTATACGTACCAGTGTCTAGCTGGTTAGTAGCTAGCTGCATATCCAAACAAACAGAGCAGAGCAGAGCAGATTGTGCCATGGTTGGACTGATCGATCGATAGCTACGTCCACTTCTCGTTTATATGTGAGGTGTTCTCTCACACCTACCGCTTTTGTATCATTATTTGTGGTGCACGAACTTTGTGTGGGAAATGGTTCAGTTTCCACAGGAACGGTAGATACATTGTATTTTGGGATTATCTATTTCTCAAGTGATCGAGTTTTCTTTCTAATTATAAATTATTAGATCAACATCAACAACTAACATGCCAATTTTTTTTCGCTCAAAGAGTTTAAACAACTTAAACTTAACACCTATACTTTGATGTGCATACTTGACAATATAACAAAATAAAACTGCGTAGGAGCTAAGGGTAAAAAGGCATATTTGAGAAATCAATTTCAAAAAATAAATACAGCAAACTTTAAGTTAGAGTGAGTTTACAATAAATTTACAGATTTCTATGGATAAACTATTTTGATCCCTAAAGGTGATGTTCCCTTGTTTGTCTAAAAAGCATCCAAACAGTTACGAAAAATTATCAAAGAATTTGACAACACTCATACAATGTATATATATCACTCCACAAAATCTTAGGTCCGAATTCAACTCACACACCGAGATAAAAAAAGATAAATTAATAGTAACGAATTATTCATACCCAGATTTATCTTTTTTTACTTAACGTGTAGGCCACTTTTTCTTTGATTTTTGTGGACCAATAAATATCACTATACTCTAAATAATTTTTCATAACTATTTTTATTGAATTTGAAGAAAACAAAGATACATGAGGGGACGTCATCTCGAGGGATTAGAATCCACTTTCCTTTTTATGTTGTGAGGTTGTTATGCTTTATATGTATTTCATTGAAAAACCAATAAGAAAAAAACCAGCAACTTATAAAAAATATAGGTCACATAGGTAAATTCCTAATATGAGGTATTCCTAGGCCTATACATAAACATATCCCACATTGATGGAACGATGGTGATATGTCTTTTCTAGTTTGAAATATATATAAAGCTTGCATCGGAATTGATTGGAATCTTGTCGACTCCTTGTTGACGGTATATGCGAACGATATTCTTTAGTGTCCTAAAGTTGAAAATATCCATCACCAATCTCTGTCAAAACCGTCAACTTCTGCAAGTAGCCAAATCATATGAGCAACATTTACAGTTCCGCTTACGTAGGTGATGACTAATGACCACAGGATATTGTTTCATATTTAAATTTAACCACTCATATTTAAGCTACAAGTCTATAAATTTTTTTAAAAATACTTATATTGTGAAAGTATGTTGTACGCTTAATAATATGATAATTTTAAAACTACTTATGGTTAAAATTAAAAATTACTCATCGGTGACAAGTACAGGGAAATGGAGTAGCATGACTCGCATCGTTGGCGCCAAGCAGCAAGGAAAGAAATCAAGAAAGCGAGAAGCAGAGGAGTCGTATGGGTTTGCACTTACGTCCATGCCGGTGATGGGGCTCTCGGAGTGTCGCCACGCGATGTCGCCGGCGTAGCGCTCGAAGACGCAGATCATGTTCTCGCGCACGTAGGGGCGGCCGTCGGCGGCGACGAAGACGGCGTCGAGGTAGCGGGCGTGGCGCGGGCAGTCGTTGAGCGGGACGAGCGGCATGGCCTGCAGCCCGAAGCCGTACTCGCCGGCGTCCATGTACGTCTTGAAGTACCACGCCTCCGTCGGGTCCATGTACGGCACGAACAGCTCCGACGCCATGCCCTTGTACATCACGTCGCGGTGCTCGCCGGTCGCCGGGTCCTGCACCCGCGCCCGCGACACCACCATGCCGGCGCGCGCGTCGGGCTTCAGGTGGAACTCCCACCCGCCCCACCGCACCGTGTGCCCGTCGACCAGCTCGAACCCGGCCCGCCCGCCGGCGGCTCCATCGACGGCACGCGGACGGTCTGGTACCCGTGCCGCCCCTGCGCTTGCGCCTCCGCCGGAGTCGGCGCCGAGTGTCCGTGCCGGTAGTCGGTGTTCGCGGCGGCGGGGATGGGGATGCCGGCGCCGCGGTCGGAGACGTGGAGGACCTCCGCCGTGTCCATGTCGACCAGCACGGTGAGGCCCTCGATGGGGCGCATGTAGAAGTTGGCCGTGCCCTCGGTGGAGAAGCACTGGCTCTTGATGAGTCGCCGGTTCTCCTCCGCTGGGCCGTACCAGCCGAGGGAGATGGGCAGGCAGGCGACGTCGGAGGCCCTGACGCCACGGCGGAGGAGGCTGGCGTTGAACGCCTCGTCCTTGAACGGCGCGAAGCAGAGGCTGGTCTGCTCGTCCATGTTCATCATCGGGTAACCGGAGGCAGGGACAGGCAGAGGAGTCACCGCGCCGTCGCCCTCGCTGAGGTCGACGCCGAGGACGTGGGACTCGCCGCGGAACCGGACGACGGCCACGGCGCGGCGAGGCGGGAGCGGGTCGGCGCCCTTCCGCCAGCTCTTGACGACGGACTTTTCCGGCTCGTCGAGCTCCAGCGAGTGCACGAACAGGGACGACGGCGCCGACGCAAACAGCGGGTGCGCGCGGAGGAGCTCGCGGACGCGGTTCACCTCCCTCACCGTGAGTGGGTCGAGCGGGTGCCGCGGCACGTCGGACTCGTGCGACGGTCGCCGCGGGTTGGACGGGTTCGACCTCGGGTCGCCCCGCCCTTGCCGGCACGCCCACGGCGAGAACCTGGTGCAGCTGCCGCCGTTGCCATCATCGAACAGAGAGGTCGTAGTCGTGTCGATGTCGCCGGGAAGGCGGAACGCGGAGCGAACGACAAGGACGACGAGGGCTGCGCCGAGGGCGAGGAAGATGAGCCGGAGCAGGGAGGTGGAGTGATCCATTGGAGTGGCCTTCGCTCTGGCCTTTGTGCTTTGTAGTGAGCTAACTGAGAAATGGTCCACTATATATGCTGATTCGTAAACTTGGGAAGCTAGCTCGTGGTGGAATGCTCGTTGTCCGATTTTCTTATTTAATTTCTCACACTAACATTTCCCTTTTTTTATATGGGCATTCTGATCTGCTAGTCAATTCGAATTTCTGCGCATCAGAGCCCAACCAGTTCTGCAGGTCATGAGCACAATAATTTCTTCGCATGGAGCGAAAGCTGACATATTTGCAAATCTAGGTAGCACTAAAGAATGTAAATTTTTTTCTACATGTAAAAAATCTAAAAATTTAAACAACCTCCAATTTGCAAAGTGCCAACGGGCTATATCCGAAGACATTATCTGGATGGTATGGGGATTGATGAAACCAGGAACCAGGGTATACGCGAGATCGCGGTAAAAGAGATGGGAGACAACGATTATTATACAAGTACGGGCTTCTTAACTTACAGGGAATAACCCTATATATCAATATCACATGAGTACAATATATTGGATGGCCTAATCTAGTCGTTGTCGGCCTAGCGGCATGGAGCTCTCACACGTAGTCGACGGCTAGCGTAATATTCTTCCTCGAATATGAACCCGGCGATATTAGAGATAGTTCTGGATCCCTTATGTTGGCTTTTGTGGCTTCTACATTGGGTTTGTCTAATCTGTATTGGCTTGTATTCTCATATGGTCTGTGCCACGTTCTGATTTTTGTTCAGGATTAAAAATCATTAAATAATGAATATCTAGAATTTATATTAAAAGTCAAATCAATTTAATCAAGTGAAATTAATGAGGGAATAAAAATTTCCTTTCAAAATCATGGCGGGAAATATTTTTGTTATGTTCTCCGTGCACTAAAATACGCTCTGAAATTTCCCGTGAATTTTCGAAGCTCAATATATAATTATAACATTACATAGTTCATTTAACCAATTAAAAATCCCCTCCTTTACTTTGGGCCGCTTTCGGCCCAAAGTCTTCTTTTTCATCCCTTCGGCCCGACTAGCTTGCCTCCTCCCTTTGCGAAGTCCAACATGCCTCCCTCCTCTCCCTTGGTGTCACGCCCCGAACTAGTACCGGCCGGAACTAGCCCGTGACGCTCCAAATTAACCTGTTAATCGATACCAGTCCCAGGAAACAGTGCTGGTATCACAGGAAGACAGATTATCACAGCAACAGAGGTCTCTTTATTATAGAGTAGAGGTACAGTCATGTTGGGCTGCGGACAGATCCCGAGCTCACAACTGTATTACAAAAGGGAAGCGGAAGCCAGGACTTGGACCAAACAACACAGGCGCGACTTGGGAACTAGGCCGAAAACCCTAAAACTCATCGTAGCCGGCTTGCTCCTGGAAGAACCCCTCATCAGCAGGATCCGCTTCATCTTCTTCAGCAACTGGGGGGGATTATTTATATAGAGCAAGGGTGAGTACGAGAGTACTCCGCAAGCCATGGGAAATAAGTGTTTAATGCAGGCTTCAAGGAAGGCTGTTGTTTTTGCAATTGATTTTATTTGAACTCTTTTCTGAAAACAACTAAGTGAGTGCTTCTCAAACGACACGGATGGGACAGTGCGTCTCGTCCGGTCGGAGTATGTGCAATGTATCAGTCTTTAGAATTGATCAAGATTGGCACCCGGCCAACAACTTTCAAACGGCCACCCGGGCCAACAACTTTCAAACGGCCACCCGGGCCTAGCTGATCCCATCAGCTGCAGATTTTTTTTCCAAACAACGATCCCATTCCATAACAGCAAATTCACAAGCCAGTAGTCAAACAAAACTACGCTAGGAATCACCTCATATCCGCCCATGACCGTGGGCACGGCTGTTCGAACAGTTTGTTAACCTCTGCAGAGGGGGGTACACTTTACCCACACGACATTACTAACCCGGATCACCCAGCCCGTGGGGATCAGCCACGTCGGGAGACCTCCAAGCTTTCATGACAAGGCATTTCCAAAGCCGACACAGGTTTACCATACGCCGACGAGAGGGGTCCCAGACCAACAACAGGTTAGGTCCCAGACCATATTGTGCCAGGAAGCCCAGGGGTCCTCCCCGACACCACCCCGGCGAATCCACATGTCTCTCGGCATCAAGGCTCCCCTGATAAGCTAGTTACTCAGCCAGGGGTGTCCCATTTCACCCATGTGGTCGTACTTGTCTTATGTTTGGATGAAATTCCAAGGAAACGGTCCTTAAGTGCAAGAGCGGAAAACCGTACACCCGGTACGTTCCCCGGTCCGCGGTTTTGGGAATTTCATTTAGTTCGCAAGCACCGACCCAGGTGTCGGGTTTTCCAAGTCTTTTGTAAAACCCAAGTTTTACCCAAGTTGTTTTTCAGATTTTTAAGTTTGAAGGCGACCGTCGATACTCGCACAGGGTGCACGAATATCGAGGCGCAACTAGATGGTTACAAGGGGACATGATATATCAATTAACAAAGGAAGGATCAAATGCAACAAACTAGGTAGGTCCGCCAATCTGCCTTGCAGACGGGACAAACAGATTAAGTGCGATCCTATCAATGCATAATATTTTTCAAGCAACATAATTAAATTTCAAATATAGGCTCAAGATGTTCAAAGGTGGCTTGCCTTGCTCGAGATCTTGAGCTTGATCCTGGAAATCCTCGCACTGCGGGTCTTCGGGCTCCGAAACTATACGCAAAACGGGACAACTCAACAAACGGCGAAAAAAATAAAGCCCTATTAATGACCTCTAAGCGTGCCATTAGATAGATCTCGAGATTTGAGGAATTTTGGAAGTTGAACGGAGTCAAACGGATTTACGGTCGGGAAGATATTGAATTTCTAAGATTATTGGATTTTTGGTCTAAAGGAAAAGGATTTAATTAAATCCTTTTTGGAAAAGAAAAGAAAAGAAAAGAAAAGAGGGAGGGAAATCAGACTTTCCTCGGGCGGCTAGGGCGCGGCCCGAGAGAAAAGGGGCGGCTCGGCCGAGCTAAATGGGCCGGCCGGCCCAAGGCGGCCCAAGGCACGCGCGCGCGGGAGGGGAGGAGAGAGAGAGAGCCGGTGGACCGGGCTCACCTCGCGTGGTCCCGAGTGGGACCCGCTTGTCAGCGGCTCGGCTCTCCGTGCGGAGGGAGCACGCGGCGCGGCGCTAGGATGGGGGAGGGACGCGGTGCACGCGCGCGGTTCGCGGTGGATGCGGATGCGGTGGGCCCACGTGCAGCCTCACGGCTCGCGGTGGAACGCACGCACGGGGAGGGGCTGACCGGGGTCGGCTCGACCCGGCCTTGGCCGAGCTGGCGCCGAGCGTGGCGCCTACGTGGCTGCCACGCGGGCCGGCGGAAGGTAGACGACGACGCCGGCCGGAACGGACGGCAGACGACAGCGGCGAGCGACGGAGCGAACCACGGCGATACAGGCGAAAGCGAGCACACCGGGTGGCTGCACAGGACAAGGGGAGACGAGCCAACGGCTCGGATTCGCCGGAGGGAGTGCGTCGGCGGCGGATTTCGGCGGCGGCAACCGGCGGCGAGGGAAGGGGGAAATGGCGATGAGGTCACAAGGGGCCGATTCCCGGCGGCGAGAGCATCTACGCGGCTATGGGAATCCGATGCTAGCGTCGGATTGGGCGGAGCTGTGCCGAGCGAGGCCGGCGACGAGCGGCGCTTCCGAGCTCGGGCGGCGACGGCGGCGAGCACACGGCGAGCGGCGGCTAGCTACGGGGAGGCTACTCGTGCTACTACCCGAGTCTAAGGGGAGGAGATGGAACGAGGAGGAAGAACGGAGGGAGATGCACTACCGTGCGGGCGGGCGCAGTGACGAGAGGCCGACGGCGCGGGAGTAATCTCTCCGGCCTCGGGCCGGGGAAGAGGAAGGAGAGGGCGCGTCCGGAGTCCCATTCCGCGTCCACGAACGCACCGGTTCCTCCGACACGCGCAACGACGAACGACGACGGCGAACAGAGCACGGGAGGCGGCGGCAATGGCGTGGAGGCGAATGGGAGAGGAAGGGAAAGGGGGAAGCTTGGGTTTATAGGGGCGACAATGTCGGTTTGGGAACCGACCTAAGGCGGTCAAAGGAGAGGGCTAGCGCTCGGCGGTCGCGGCCAAAGCGGCGACAGGGAGGAGGGAGGAGGATGACGCCGGCGGGAGGAAAAAGGGGAAAAGAGGGAGAGAACAGGGGGGCTTGCCCCTTGCCTCTTTGGGAAAAGGAAGAGGGGAGCGGGGGCGACGCGACAGAGGGAGGAGGGGGCTCTGCCTCCGCCCCTTGGAGGCTAGCGCGCGGAGTGGCGGGGGCCGGGCCATTCCACAGCGATGGCGGCAGGGCANTGTNGACGGAACGCCANACGACNACAGGCNCGGGAGNCCGGCANAGGGTTNNGCGCGGCGACCAGGCNGGTNGGCNCCACNGGGCCGCGCATGGCGGGTTGCAACGGGAGCCCGGCGGTTTTAACGNGCGGCTNGGGACGCGCGCTNGCTTNCGGGNCNAGCCGCTNNNNGCTGTANGCCCAGGANGGCAACGGGGCCANTTTNGCGGGTNGGGAGGTCCCCANGGGTNGAGGCGGGGAAAANGAAANCCANGGGAANGGAGGGNTCGGCGCTAACCGGCTTCGCACGCGCGTNGGCAAAACGGAGGAGGNGGCTCNGGCCGGGTTTCGGGACGCGCGCGGCGCACGGGCGGAGCGGAGGGGGAGGGAGAGAGGGAGAGAGAGAGCGTCGGGGAGGGAGGGGGAGATGGGCCGAGAGAGATTCGGCCCATCGAACCCGGGAGAGGCAAAATAGACTTTTGCGGAGGAATTGATTTGGGAAGGATTGGATTCGGGATTGAACTCGACGATATATCGGGGATTGAGATCCGAGATGGCACGGACACTGGACAACAAACAAAGAAACAAATTTCGCAATTAGGGTTTGTAAGAGATAATTTTCCCGCTAGGCGCCACGACGGAACGGGCGCTACACTTGGGCCGCCAACAGGTAGGGCCCACTTGTCGGGGTCATCCCCTACCTCCGGCCGAGCCGGCAACCGCCGACCCCGCCCACGTCGCTGCCCATCCCACCGTCTCC